TTGAGCTGACAATTCCCTTAAATATTAATCTGTAATATTGTTTTTCTAAACTTTGTGAAGGTCATTTTATAAATTAATTTGAAGTTTTTTAAATCATTTACAGTATATTACGTTTTAAACCATAATATAACTTAATTGAAAATTTAATTGTTAAGTAATAGTATTTGAACTTGTCTTTTAAGCTTTGATAACTGATACCATAAACGCTGCAGAAATAATTATTACTTTCTTTCCTCATCTCTTTGTAACTGTTACATTTTGCACTGTGTACTTATTTGGATTCAAAGTTCTATGAGTTTTAACTGTTACAGTGTTTTATGATGTTTACTTTCTAAAAGTAATTTTTTGCAGTGATTAACTAAGCTTTCTTTGTAATGGAAGTTATTTCGTTATCCCTGTAGGTTTTAAACACGACTCTAATTAGCCAAGGGAAGAACATGGTGACTGAAATCAATTATTACATGACAAATGCTTTCTCAGAAGGTTTGTTTGATAACTGTGAAAATGTACAGATGCCAGCAGGAAACATTAGAGCTATCGTCGTTCTCTGTGGTAGCTGGGGGGAAAATTGCTCTCCACGTCGTTGGCTGGAGTATATGGGAACCCATGACCCTTCACCATTTCAGATAAACTTTCAATTTTATGAAGGACCTGTACATGTAGGAAATAATACTTACTTACCAATGGACACTCCTGTTATTCCTTGTTCTCAACCAGTGTCCCCTGGTGGTGAGGCGTGTAGCTGTGTGGATTGTCCTACCAGCTGTGATTCTCCTACTTTTCCTCAACCTCCAGCTGAATGGGATGTTTGGGGTATTCCAGGAATGTGGGTAGTCATGAGCTTCATATTTATTGCAGCTGTGATTAATATAACGATTTGCTTTATTGCAAGGATTCTTCTTCAAAAAAAGCCAGAAGGTAAGTTTATATTTCTACATTATTTCATACAAAGTATCAACAAAAGGTTGAAATGTTGAAATAATGAAATATTTATCAAAATAGCATTTATATTAGTAATTTTAACTTTTATGTTGCTTGATCCTAGCCACACATCATATAATAATAATAAGATAAAATATATTTCTGTATCTAATAAACTTACTGAATACTCATGGTTTCTGTCTTATATAGTTCTGTGTTTGGTTAGAATGTATTTCTGTTGAATACTTTAGTTACTAAGTCCTTCATGTAAAAAGCTAGTCAATTTGTATATCTAAGGATTGGTTTCTGTTTGTTATATAGTTCTGTGTTTGTTTAGAATGTATTTCTGTTGAATATTTTAGTTACTAAGTCCTTTATGTTAAAAGCTAGTCAATTTGTATATCTAAAGATTGGTTTCTGGCTGTTATATAGTTCCGTGTTTGGTTAGAATGTATTTCTGTTGAATATTTTAGTTACTAAGTCCTTTATGTAAAAAGCTAGTCAATTTGTATATCTAAAGATAGGTTTCTGGTTCATTGTTTTACAGTCACAGATTTTGCTGTTTTATGCTTAGTTAGAGATTTGCACACTAAATATGTATTAGAAGGTTCTGCACCAGTGTTTACATGTTGCTTTTAAAATATGATCTTAGATAATTTGGATTTTGTCATCATTAGGGTATTAAAACAATCCTTAAGTTTCTCTGATGTCTTAAAAATAAATGGTTTTAATGTTTTTAGTAAGTGTTTTACAAAAATAAAATTTTGTATTTACTAGATTCTGAGAATTTGTTAAACAGCGATGAATCAATTTCTGAGGAAGATGCAGTTTTTCTGTCCCATGAAGATGTCAAGAATCCTCTAGAGAAAATAGGAGCACATATAGAATCTAAACTAGAAGCTTTCTTTACTCATTTGGGAACATTGTGTGCGAGTTATCCAATTCTGATACTGTTTTGTGGTGTTGTCTTAGTGATGGTATCTTCATGTGGTCTTATATTCTTCACTGTCACTTCAGATCCTGTTGAGTTGTGGTCTGATAAACAAAGTCAAGCCAGAAAGGAAAGGGACTACTTCAATTCTCATTTTGGGTAAAATTCTTTTCTGAGACTTCTTTTGGAACTTGTTTGTTTCTTACTCACATTTAAAACTAGCTATATATTACTTTTACTTATGTTAAGTGAGAAAATTGACCATTTCTCACAACTGTTATGAAGCTTATCATAAATATTCTGTCTAATTCTGTGTAGACCATTTTATCGGACAGAACAAGTTATTATCACCAAAGTTGGAGGACGACCGTTTCACTACACAACACCCAAGAATGAGACCCTGACTTTTGGACCAGTATTTGACAAACAGTTTCTTCATGAGGTGTGATAAAGAAATACTTTATGGTCATATATTGATTAATAAGTAGTTATACTGATAAATTATCTGTTAAAAGCTGTGTTTAATTTTTGATTATGGTCTCTCATTAGAACATAGGAGTGTTACTACTCTGCACCAAAGTTAACATTTTTCTAAACCTCTCCAAGCTCTACATCACTATCCATAATAAAGTAAAACACAAATGTAATAATATGAAGCATTTAGTAAACATGTATAAGAAGACAAGCCGTGCAGAGACTTTAAGGCCTCTTATATTGGTCAAACTAAACATCACCTTAAAGTAACAGCATTTGAACATATGGGTATATGTATAAAAACTGGAAGAAAAGCTACAAACCCTCCCAAACGTGCAGAAACAGGGCTTCTGATTTTGCTCTCTAACTTTAAAATTCTTTAAATAGCCAAGCATGATACTGAATGTCTAATGAAAGAGATGTTATATGTAAAAACACTTCTATAGCCAACCACGATACTGAACGTCTAATGAAAGAGATGTCATATGTAAAAACACTTCTATAGCCAAGCACCATACTGAATGTCTAATGAAAGAGATGTTATATGTAAAAACACTTCTATAGCCAAGCACAATACTGAACGTCTAATGAAAGAGATGTTATATGTAAAAACACTTCTATAGCCAAGCACGATACTGAATGTCTAATGAAAGAGATGTTATATGTAAAAACACTTCTATAGCCAAGCACGATACTGAATGTCTAATGAAAGAGATGTTATATGTAAAAACACTTCTACTGTCTCTTAATAATACACATTTGTCATTTGATTTAAGTCTATTTTAATGTAACTATTTCCTTGATGCTACATACTTTTCATTTTCTCTTGCTCTACTCGTTGTATTAAAATTGTTTACTTCTCATGCATTACAACTTTTATCTCCGATGTAATTACAATTGATTGTTTTGTAACTCTAGATTACTAAAGATGAAAATTTAAAAATTCCAAAACATTTAACAAATTCTATAATGTTCATATCTTACTTTATTAAAATTATGTTTCTCTAAAAATGAATTGATTGCTACCATTATCCATATATCTCACTTGCCAATCACATCACTTGGAATTAGTTCAAAGGTTAGTCATGTATAAGAACAATATGATCTCTGTATTTAAAGATGTATCTTTTGTGTAGGTGTTGTCTTTGCAACATAGTATCACATCTCTAATGGCTAGAAGTGGGGGGAAAAACATCCACCTTGAAAATATATGTTTTTCACCAATGGACAATGGAAAGTGCACAATCATGAGTCCCCTCAACTGGTTCCAGAATAATGATACTAACTTGGACTTTGAAAAAGAAGGTTATAACTACTTGGATCACATTCATTCCTGCGTACAGTGAGTTTTGTGTTTAGGAAATCTTGTTAAGTTTATTTGGATCACATTCATTCCTGTTTACAGTGAGTTTTATGTTTAGGAAACCTTGTTAGGTTTACTTGGATCACATCCATTACTGCATACAGTGAGTTTTATGTTTAGGAAACCTTGTTAGGTTTATTTGGATCACATTCATTCCTGCGTACAGTGAGTTTTGTGTTTAGGAAACCTTGTTAGGTTTACTTGGATCACATCCATTACTGCATAAAGTGAGTTTTATGTTTAGGAAACCTTGTTAGGTTTATTTGGATCACATTCATTCCTGCATACAGTGAGTTTTATGTTTAGGAAACCTTGTTAGGTTTACTTGGATCACATTCATTCCTGTGTACAGTGAGTTTTGTGTTTAAATAACCTTGTTAGGTTTTCTAGAATATATAATTGATGCCTATGAAACTGTCTTTTACAATAAGTTTTAATAATCAATATTATAAAGTTTCACTTTGGACATTGTATTTATAGTTTCAGTTTTTATTCTAATGTCAAAACTTCTATTATGTATTTTTTGAATCATGTGCAGTTCTGTTTCATTTGACATGTGATTGAGTTTTTTGTTAATTAATTTTATCAATTTTTCTTCTAATTGTTTTTTTTTCTCCAATACCAAGTTCTGTTATTTATTTTCCAGTTGTGCTGTTGAAAGTCTTTCTCTTCATTGTTGTCTGGAGTTATGTAGTATTAATAAGTTATAATCCAAAGTAAGCTGTCTCTAATGATCAGAAGTAAAAAGTAACTTGTAAATTATCAAATCAAATTCTATAGAAGAAAGTGACTATGGTTACACAACTTCACAAAGCAATACACAAGTAAAAAACCTATAATGTCTGTAATGCATTAATTCATTCTCACTGCTAACAATACTGTTGATAAGTTTGGCTTATTTCAATTGAGAGGCCACTTTGTTGTCTGGAATTATGTAGTATTAATAAGTTATAATCCAAAGTAAGCTGTCTCTAATGATCAGAAGTAAAAAGTAACTTGTAAATTATCAAATCAAATTCTATAGAAGAAAGTGACTATGGTTACACAACTTCACAAAGCAATACACAAGTAAACTAAAACCCATAATGTCTTTAATGCATTAATTCATTCTCACTACTAACAATACTGTTGATAAGTTTGGCTTGTTTCAAATGAGAGGCCACTTTGTTATGTTTATGATTTATTGGCTCCTTCTTAACCACAGCTAACAAAATAAGTCAATATGTTTGCTGTAAGATAGTTCAGTAGGTTCCTCAATGTTTAGGTCACACATTCTCTTATAATTTGTTTCACAACTACAGTTGTCATGAGTATATACCTCACTTGAATTTCAGAAATTTAATACTTATTCAGAAATGAAACATAAGTGCTCATGTAGTATATACTCTAAACATGTGAGCATGAACCATGTTTCAGACCTATTATTTGTCTTTGTGTGATTATCAGTTATACCTCACATTATGTAAGGATGTTTTTGAATGGTTTAGGAATCCACTTGCTGTTGCTGATTCTCTTCCACTGGGGTTGCCTTGTCTTGGAGATTTTGGTGGTCCAGTGTATCCATATGTGGCTCTTGGTGGTTTTAAAGGACAGGATTTTTCAAATGCAACAGCTTTGACCATTACTATGATGGTTAACAACCATAAAAATGATGCAGACAATAGAGATGCCATGGCCTGGGAAAAACTGTATGTATTAGCTCTGTAGTATTATTTTCTCATGGTATCTTTTATAAAGTAAGGTTTTAGCCAGTCACTTTTAGGTATTATGTTACTAACTTCAAATTAGACCTTCAAAACATGGTTAAATAAATGCCAGATTGCACAGTTAATTCTGTTTTGTAATGTATTTTTGTTGTAATGTGGCCTTCATAACACACAAGAATAAATGCAACATTCCATTAATTGGCAACATACAAAAATGATTCGATATGAATTGGAACTCTATAATGGAAAATCTGGCTCTTAAATCAGTGTTTGTATGATCCACCACAAGGGTAAGATACTAAGCCGAAGATGTTTGTTTAGCATAACATTGATTTAACACATTAACTTGTGAGATGGCTGTTCATTTCAGCACTAAATTAACATAAAGCAGTAACTTGGAAAAACTGCCTGTTCAAAGTATTTCATGAGGGAGCCTGAGTTTGTTTCAACACTTCTGAAAAAAATTCAGCTTGTCTATTGTAAGGCACTTCACTTAAGATAATTTTTTTTTTTTCAGTTGGCAAAACACGTGTAGGATTTTATTTCAGTTGCCCGAGAGAAGCTAAAAATTTTAAATGCCTGTTCAGTCAGAGCTAAGTTAACCCTCATTAAAAGCACTAATATGGGAAATGTCAGATACTGTTTTATAACTGCTTTAAAGATGAACACTTTGACAAATATGTTAAACTGGTACATCTAATTCTGTTCAAGAGAAGCTAGCTTTCCTTTAGCTAAAAGTAGGATTGGATGTTTTAGGTTACAGTTGAAAGAGTACAAGAAGATTATGACCTAAGAATTGAGAAGTGTCACATTCTAGTGTATTGTTAAAACATATAATGATACTTAGCTAAATGTAGGATAGTACTATGCCTATGTATAGAGATGAAGGAGTGTAAGAAGATAATGGGCTTATTGTTTATAGTGTATCATACAAATAACATAAGGAGATTGTGAGCTTAGTGTAGTAGAGTACTGTATCAAAGTGTATGGATGAAGGAGTATAATAAGATTATGGGCTAATTGTTTTTAGTGCATAATTCAAAGAACATAAGGAGATTATGTACTCAGTATAGGAGAGAATCATATCAAAGTGTTTTATTAAAATAACTGAACAGGATTGAAGAGTAAAAGAAAAGGAAAGCACCACGAGCAAAATGTTATAAAGAGACTATGGGCTATTTAAAGGGGTGCCATTTCCTTGGATATCAAAAAATTATAAAGATATTATTGGCTATTTAAAGGGGTACCATTTCCTTGGTATTAAAATAACCTAATACTTTTGCTGACTACACTTTGTGAATGTTATTTAAGGTTATGTAAATGTTGGGAACATTATGTGGCTATTGCTGTAACATGACTGTTTGTAGCTTAACATTTAAAAATCCTGTAAAATTGATAATGGAAATATTCTATGTTATAAATTCATAAGTTCTTTGTAGAAAGATTTTGTTAACAAAATGTAAACATTAATTTCATCATTTTCTTCTAGGTATGTGGAATTTATGAAGAATTATTCTAACCCGAATATGACCATTTCTTTCTCTTCAGAGGTATATTTATTTTTCAGCTCTGCTTTTACTAGTCACGTAATCGTGTTGTTTTATGTGTAACAATAAATTAAAAATACTTTGTAATTACTTTAACCAGTGACATCTTGGAACTTCTAAGAGTTTTTTCTCAGCACATTTTGTATTTTCTCTCTAAAGTATATATAATTTGCTGTGTTGGTGGATGTATTCTAGTTTGCTAAATGCAGTCTGTTTTATTATCTTGTCACAGTAGTTTTAAGATGCACCGATACAAGATGTCATTTTTATGTACATGTATTGTAATTGTAATAAATAACTTTAATGTTCCAGAATGAAATAATCTTTTATATTTTACTGTATTTAAACTTATTGGTGCGAGATGTTATTTTAAGATATTTTTTATGTTATGTTTGAATCATCCGAGTTGGGGAGAATTGATCACTTTTTTGTAACTGTAATTTACAAATATGTCTTTTTCTTATACAAAGGTCTGGATCAGTTTTTAACTATAAAATATATGTCTCTTGTGTAGCGTTCTATTCAAGATGAATTAGACAGAGAAAGTCAGTCAGATATTGTCACCATTCTCATCAGCTACCTCATCATGTTTGCTTATGTTTCCATAGCACTTGGAAGGTTTCGAAGATGTAAACACTTATTGGTAAGTTAATCCTATTTTTTCTACCTTGTAGTAGACCTATATATTTATAATTTAGTTAGGCATTACTTTAAAACTGATCTTAAAATTAAAGTAGACCATTGTTATCTAAGGAAATTGAGGTTACAGGGCAAATATAGATAAATTAGATAGATAGATATAGAAAAATTATGGGAAATGCTTAAGAATTATTTATTTGATGCCACAGGGAAGTAGAATCTCAGGTGAAAAAGTACATGAGAGTTTCATTATTGGGACTGTATTTACAAAAATCTGTGTAGATTATAGTATATGAATGTAGTTTGGATATATGTGTGTGTGTGTGTGTGTATACTCTCAGTAAATGTCAATATTTGTATATCAAGATATTGTTTGAAATGATGCCTGCTTCGGACAACCAAAAATTGCTGCAGGCAAGTCCACTGTGCAGCTTAACTTGCCAGTGCACAAACAACTTATATGCAATGATAAACTTGTCACAGGGAACTGTGGCATCAAAAAAGCTTACCTACAAAGCAGAACTGATGATCTCCAAAGATAGCTTCAGCAGCTTCACATCTTTTTAGTAGATAATGATAAGTGGTGTAGGCCTAGAGCTGTTATGGCCTCCAAAAAAAACATCAGATGAGCTATGGGCAGAGCTCATTTGAAATGTTCTAGGAACAGCATCTGGTAAAATGCCATATGTTTTGTGTGTATAATTCTCCACTTACCTTGCTATGATGAATTGTCCTATGGCACAAAGTCGAAATAAGTTCAGATATCTAAATGCAACTTTCGAAATTGTTGAGATAATAGTAAGAAAACATTGATTTATTTCACTTGGACACTCATTAGATGAAACGTCCTTACTAAAAATCTGAGGATCAAAATATATGAACCACACAGTGCTGGTAGGCGTGGCCTACATGCCTTTCAGTCAACACAGTGTACACATCTCAGTTAAATTTCTCATTGGAAATAATGCATATAACAAAATGGAAGCAACCATGAATAGAGAACATGTCACTAATATAAACAATAAAATTTTTAGTACTAGGTGGACACAAGATGAAAAATGTAACAAGAGATGTTATTATACAAAGAATTTGAATACTATGTGATTTCACTTAACTTGTTTAAGCTTTTTATACTGTTAAAATATTTAATTTACTATTTTGAAGTGTATTTATCTGGTGTATAATTTATAAAATGGAGCTTGTCCACCTGTTTAACCTTGGATTGCCTACTGTTGTCCACCTGTTTGACCCTACTGTTTTTCAAGTGCTAAGTATCAGTGGCACAGTGTCCACTGTTTAAGTTTGGTATCAATTTTCTGGTATTGATAATAGTGCTAGAACTAAATGTGACTCTTTTGAGAGCAAGTGGGCAGATGAATTGGAGAAAAATCAGTCATGGGAGTATCAGTTTTTGTGGTTTTCCTTTGCTCAGACCTTACAAACATGGTACATGCTGTTGTTTATGTTAACAGTTTGATAAAACAAGTAAATCCAATGTCTTTTGAACAAGAACCAAAAGTTATAGAGTATGTAATGTAAAAATTCATGAATTTCCCTGGACTTACAGAAATGTGCAAATTGCCAGAAAAGCCCCTTCATGAATCAAATATACTAAAAGAACTTAGGTCTGTGGAGGCACCTGACTTCGAAAATGTACAATGGATTTTTTTTAAACTTCATTCCATCTTGCCAATAAAGAGAAACCTTTCACTGATCTGAAACTACTGCTAGCATTAGAAAAGTGCAATGGAATGGAAATCATGGAGAATTATCAAAATGGCAAACAGGCTGCAGTATTTTGTAGTTTTATAGCAGATCTCAAAATAGAAATTAGGGAACTGTTGAAAGAAAAATGAAGTTTTCTCTCTGACATGTGATACCTCAAATAATAGCAGTGTAACTGAGGAAGAAGTGGTATATGTTCGTGTAACAAAAGACAATAGTTATCAAGCACTGGAGAAAGTCAAAACTTGTTTGCATTGGTGTTGTGATGAAACTGGCTGTAGAAATGGTGTTTTTGCAAAACTTAAAGCAGATGTCTGATTGGTATCCACTGCTTTGTACACAGATTAGAATTGGCCCTAAAGGATGCATTTCACAGGACCTACATTGATGAAACTGTTACATCCTTCTAGCAGGATATTTATAGATTCTACTATTACTCGTCATTGAAGTGGAGCACGATGCAGGAAAAGTGTCGAACGTTCTGCATCCAACAGAAATCACTGGCACACAACCGGTAGTCCATCATTACAAGCCATGAGCAGAAACTTTTCTGCTCTAGTTATGCATCTGGAACAAATATAATGAGACCACTAGTGACAATGGATCTAAGGCAAGGGAGTTTCTAAATATTCCTTCTACACCTGTACTTCCATTGTACAAAGTGCTTACAAAATTTTTCTCCCTTTTGCAGAGCAATGATGTTAAACATGAAGTTGACCAAGGAATGTTTTCAGGAAATGACTATTCCTGAAAACATTGAGAAAACAATGTATGGAGAATTCAATGATGAATTCACCCAGTACAGAGGAATATCAAAGTAATAAATAACATTAAAATAGGTACATAATTAAAAACATTTTAATTAAGGTCAATATATGACCATTAAGAAGTTGACTCTACATTTTTTCATGTTGCAACTACATCTTCAGGAATGAGTTGCAAGACATAATTGTGTCATATTTATACTTTTTTTTGTTGTACAGGTTTACACGTGAACTTTGTAGAGAATGTCACCCCACATTTTTGCAGAGGAATATCACTTGTAGGAGGTATTCATCAACTGTAAACAGAGGAATATCACTTGTAGGAGGTATTCATCAAC